TAGATGTCCTGGCTAGTAAAACACAGTCCAATCCCTGGAAGAAACATGCTAATATCCCACTGTGAGTGTGAGGAGGGGCTTGGCCATGCTGGAAGACATGGCAGTATTCTGAACACAAATGCTCTGTTTAAGTGGAGGTCTACTTTGCAACGGAAATACTTCTTTTCATTTTGATTTTGCTAATGACCATCAATAAATCATATTACATATCTCATTTAGTTTGGGGTCTTATGAGTTCATCTCTACAAAGCCTTTTTGATGGGTTAATAATCAACACAACCTGCAATGCCTGCTGCAGGCGAGCTGTTACTAATTGCTTGAGGTCAAATGCTCCCTTGGCTCCTTCATTCCATAGGCCCTGGAGGTGGCTCAGACAGGCAGAGCTGCAGTGATCTCTCACTGCTGAGAAGTCAGACCCCCGTGGAGTTCAAGTCTAACCCCTGGGTCCACCTTTGGAGTCTGACTCTACTTCCTGCACCACAGACTCAGGGAGAGAAAAGTCCTGAGCTTGGATTTCAGTGCACTGGAATCCAGGCTTTGCTGATCTCAGACTAATCCATTCTGTTCCTCTGCTACTGTCCTGAGTTGCAACTTTTACATGCAACACTGGGTCTCAGGTTGGTATCAGTGACCTCCAGGCTGTGGGCACAGGTGGGATAGAGGAGATGGAGCCAGCCTCCTCTTGAAGGACAAGCGACAATGCGCCCAAATTGGAAAAAGGACAATTCTGGTGGGACATAAAAGTTCTTCTCCCTGAGCGTGGGAGGCTTTTCTCCCTCAGCAGAGGGTTGAAATAGAGACCTCCAGAGGCCCCTTCCAGCCTAATTTTTTCTATGAATATTTGCCAGACTTGCAAGGAACCACTGCAGTAGATGTGACTACTGATCAGCCCTGGGCCTTATGCTCACTTTGCTCATTAGAAGCTGCATTTTAACTACAGCCCCAGAAGGTAGTGAGTAATGGCTACCGTCATGTTTAGCACTACTGCAAACAGCTGCCAAGCACGTGAAGTCCTGTAATGGCCTGTCTGTTGTAAGTAACCTCAGTAATTAGTGGCACTATATTAAGAACTACCATACCTGCAACACTGCAGCTGCTTCTGTTCACTCCCCAAGCACATGCCTGAAGTGGAAGAAAGATAAGATGGCGACTTTCCAGGTAGCATCTCTTCCCAGGTGGGTGCAGCCAGTGCCCTAGTGAGTACAGCCATGGAGCTTGGAGCCTGTACCTGCGGGGTCAAAAAAACCCAATCGAAAACCAAAAGGCAACAACTAAAAATCATCTGAAAACACAGTACAAAAGGAGCATTTCAAGCATTCAAGCTCCACAGATTTTTGTGATGGCTAGAGGCAATGCATTCAGGTTATAGATACACTGTCTATCCTGGCTGCAAACACATTTAAGCTAGCTGCATGAATGTACCTGGTTGTATCTCAGCAGAAACACTCTGAGCAGGTGCCTGTATGTACTGCCCCAGGGAACAGAGCTGGCTGCAACTACAAGGGAAGGTAAACTGAAATGTCATTATGCTGCGGGTCACTGCCATGGAGTGAGTTCTTAGTTAATTGTGAGAAAAGGTGTAGCCAGAATTTGTAAGGACCAAGAGGATTTTTCAAAGGTAATTAGCAGCTGAGAGTGGCTGGTGGCTGTCCCAAGTTTAGAGGCAAAAGCTGTTTTAAGTGAAGCGATACGCACATAGTTTCTTCAGCTTGCAGAGTCAGGAGGAGACACCAAATGGGAAACCCAATCGTCATTGTCACAAAGAAAAAAGTACCACCTTTCTTAATTGTTTCCTGACCTCATTGGTTCTATAGACTTCATCCTCTCTTCTATCCCTTGCCAGCACAAGACTTTGGCTTTTAAATCCTCTTGATTTCCAAGCAGGCAGCTGCTCGACCAGCACAACGCTTTGGAAAGACACTAGAAAGCTGCTCTGGCCACACTACTTGAGATTCTCTTGAATTCCAGTCACCTGCAGAAACAATAAAATAAAATCCTTTCAACAGAGAGCAGCCCTTGAACTTAGAAGCATGACAAGTTACTTACTGTGTTCCACAGTGCATTGGGAGTTGAGCGTAACTTACAAGCAGTTGGAGATGTAGCGCTGGGGCTCTGTCTCAGGCGTAGTCCTAGAGTGCAGTTCAGACCTTGAATCCTATCCCTGTTCCTCACCTGCTGCACCTTGTTACTTTTTCTGACTCAGATGATTTTTCTTTAGGAAGTGGGCCAGATGGTAAGTAAGTCAGTTTTCTTTAGCACTACAGAGATGAAACCATTTTATGGGTTGGACAAAAATAGCACCTTTCTCTCTGAGACATGGGAATAACAAGAGGACATTTTGTTTCAGGAATCTCTAAAACTTCATTTAGCCCAGCTGGTTGTTAGACCTTCCAAGCCTTTATCATTTCCGTTTCTTCCCACGTGGTCCAGTTCACTTCAGCCGTACAGGGCAGAGAGTGAAATTTTTCTCAAAATTTGTGACAGTTCAAAAAATTACAAGTTTTAACAATGCAACTCTCCCAACCTGTGAGATGACTTACCAGATTTACAGCAATCTCACAACAAAACCCCCCAGGATCAACCAAAAACACACCATGCTGGGGAAGAAGGCCCACGTGGTCCAGTTCACTTCAGCCGTACAGGGCAGAGAGTGAAATTTTTCTCAAAATTTGTGACAGTTCAAAAAATTACAAGTTTTAACAATGCAACTCTCCCAACCTGTGAGATGACTTACCAGATTTACAGCAATCTCACAACAAAACCCCCCAGGATCAACCAAAAACACACCATGCTGGAGGGAAGAAGGAAAAAAAAAAAGGCCAGAGTTTTCCTTTGCTCTGAGGCTGAATGGGTAAGGTAGCTGTACAGAACCTGGTTGTAAAGCTTGGACTATGTGAGAATTACCTTTCAGTATTTCCTTTGGCTACTAATAAATGGGATGACAAGATGTGATGGTCCAAACGAGCATTTAAAAGAAAGTTATAGTGAAGAGGGTGCTCATCATACTCATGATTTTGAATAGTTTATTAAATGAAAGGTGAAGCATCAGTTTTAAATTGTACAAAAGGAAAAAAAACCTCATATTGTAAATGTACAATTTACAGAATTACTAGCAAAACCAATCAAGGAGACACTCATAATACAAAAACCTATTGACTGCAAACTGAACTGGAAACCCATTGCAGGTACCGTGATAATAAATGTTTGTTATACAGTATTCTACAATGTTAAATTAGGAATCAGTTTTCCACACAGAAGACTGTGAAGCACAAGGTTTGTCTGAGACTATGACTCAAACCAGGCAGCATTTATTATGCTACTATGCTCACAGAATTATTGTGATGACAATTTAATGCAGCCATTCCTGCCCACCCCTGTTACTTTTGGGGTGGACAGAAGAGGAAGGGAGGTAACGTTATTTTATAAAGTTCCAGCTACTTCTCAGGTTTTATACATTACCCAACCGACATCTGAGGAATGGCTGAATTACCTAGTCAAACATTTTTGGCAACCATGTCTGAGAACTGCACATGTTGTAAGAAACAAACCTCAGCTGAGTGAAATGCTGGTTTGTTTTTAAAATTAGATTCTTTTCCCTCCCAGCAAGGGAGGGAATTAATGCCACCGGGCATTAATGTTGTTTTGTTTTTCAATAAGCTTGTAACAGAAAAAAGCTCCATGGTTATTTTGCAGTTGCTAAAAAAAGCACCTCTAAAACTGCTGTGCTCCAAGTGGGTCAATCTGCTTTGTATCTCAAATGCTAATATTAGAATGCAGAAAGGAAGATTAACATTTTGGGGCTGATTCTTAGAGATACTAGAGTCAGTGCAAGTTGTGGATGGCCAGCACCTCTGATATCAGGCCAGTTTTAACTAAGTAGCAGCTACTAGGCAGAGTCATAAAATTGAAGCATAATGAAATTCCAAATTATCAGAGACATTGAAAAAATCTCTTATTACAATGAATTTGCTGAGAATGTTTTGGGTTTTTTGGGTTTTTTTTTTGATGTTTTTAACTTTTTTGAAAAATCATATTTTTTTTTTCCCCAAAGAATTACTCTTAATATGCACAGTTAACACTGAAAATGTAGCTGTATTCCATTGTAAGCTTAAGAACTTCACCATCTAAGCACAAATTTCTATGCAGCACATACAGTACTTCTAACTGGCAAAATTAATTTACAAAAATAGCGCAAAAGGGTATTTACGGCATGGAAAGTAGACTTTTTTTTATGGTACAGTTAAAATTGCTTTTAGTATGCTAAAGTGATTCCTTTCCCCCACCCTTGAATTATTTTTTTTTAATAGGAAAGTTGCTGTTTATGTACCTTGGGTTGGCAGGGCTTGAAGTAGGTAGTAAAAACAGCAAAGTGATTACTTGAGAACCATTTGTGTGTTTTACTGAGAATACTTTATTTGCTGGTATAAGTTGCTAAAAATGCACAGAGCAAGTACCAATAGAAAATTTACTGTTTTTGTGTCCCCATGTGCTATATAAAATGAATGTTACACAGCATCTGTTGGAAAAGTGGCTTCATGGACATCTCTTACTTTATGTCCCATTATAAATAAAAATAAATCTTCTCAAGAGTATAAAATCTGGGTTTATCATATCAGAATCTGAAATTTTTTGGCAGAGATGCACGTCATTAGAATTCTAAGCTCTTCTATAAGAGTGTTCTTCTCAATGCCTATGAGAGGATATAAGCGTACCATAATGTTAATCAAATCCAGTGTGTTCAAAAACACTTTTCTGTAGCCAGAATGACCTGCTTATAGCATCATTGCTAGTCAATGGCTGATAGGCATAGGTTTAATAAAAATGGCTAGCTTTTAAAACATAAAAAGGCAAATGTTAAAACTGTTTTAAATTGTACAGCAGAAAAATAAAGTTAAAAAGTTCTGTTTTCACTCAATGTTGTTTTCAGAAAACATATGTAGAACAGTGTTTATTTCGACAGCTGTCTTAACAATTTAAAACTTCCTCCATCCAACATATGTAGAACAGTGTTTATTTCGACAGCTGTCTTAACAATTTAAAACTTCCTCCTCATCCAGGAAAAAAAAAAAAATCTGTATTAGGACAGTCAAGAACAGGGATACAAATGATTTTTTAGATCAGCCCTTCTGAGGTGACTGGATTGGCCAACATTCCTTTGTGTCATTAAGAAGTTCCTCTTCTTTCTGTCACTACAAAAAGGGATTGACCTCAATCATTTGGTTAAAAATCAAACCGTATCACATCAAAAATGTGGTTTTCATACAAGCTATCACAGTATATAGGCCTCTAGCTCTAAACAATAGAGTTCCAAATTTGTAAAATGTCTTCACCAGACTTCAGAACATAGGCATTCCAAATCCCTAGAAAAATGATTTAAAAGAGAGTAATTAACTAGGTGTAATGATAATCAAAAAGAACCTCAGATAAACAGCAAACAATACTAGTAAAGCCTTACTGAATCATCCTCAATGATAGCTGCGGAGTCAAAGAAGTCTGGCCTCAGTTCAGCCCGTTCTCGCCGGTTTCTCGAAGGTGGCTAAAAAAAAAAAAGTGTCAGCCATTTTAGAATCTCACATCAGTTACCTGGGAATAAAGGATTCATATGGCTCTACAGCTAATGGGTACGAACATGGTTACCTGTTCCTTTACGAAGCAGCTTTGCGTGGATTTTCATAAAAGCTCTGATACAAATGTAGGCCCTGACATAGGAGAATACTTCTTAAATTCATGTTTTATTTAAGGAATGGGGTAAAAGCTGATGGATTCTAAAGTAATTTTAAGTCTGTGCTGATAGCTGAGGACTTGCTTAAGGCTCTTATTCACTTAACGATGTTCTTGTATTAGGACTGTAGGCCAGACTGCATAAAAACTGTCTTTTAAGTGTCTTTATGCTTTTAAGTTTATGGTGAAACTTCAGCTCTGACATGCTCAAAAAATGGATTTAGAAAAAAAAGTACTTAAGATCTCATAATATTTCTGAGGATTAAACCCTTTGTGTTGTCCTTCCCTAGGAACATAAGAGTAAATGTGAGCTTCACTGGCTTGATCAATTCCTTCATTTCCTTGCCTTGGATTACCAGTAAAAGCGAGATTCTACTTACTTGATAATCATTTGAACGCTAGTAATAACCTCAGTATTCAGCAGCAGCAACTGAATTATTGCCTAAATTTTCTTTCCAAGACATTATAGACCAGTCCTAAAGTAACCTATGCCTTATTGTTTGGATATGAAAGGAGAAACAGGAAAGCATCAAAACGGTGAAGTGTATTGTATAATGCAAACTGATCCTTTTTCCCATTTTACAAGGAAAGTATTAATTCCAAACGGAGAGGCTAGTAAGGTTATAACCTCTACAAAGGCAATCCTGCCTGTAGTCAGTACATTACCATGAAAGGACCTGAGGTTGCCATCTGATGATATGACCTGTTTGGGAGCAATTCCAGTGTAAGGTATCACCCACTACTGCCTGCTCTCCCTTCTGCTGTGCCAGAACAACTCTGTGTATGTCTGTAAGGTAACCAGACCTTGATTAAGGATCCCCTATCTACCCCACCTCCCAGAAATCAAACAAACCAGGAAAGAGAAAAAGAGAAACAACTTGGCTGTATCAGTTTGACCACAGTTTGGCTGCATAAAGAGCCATGTCAGCAAAAGAGTTAGTGATGGCTGTGACAATGGCATAGGGAAGGCACACCTAGAATACCTTTGGATGATACTGTTTCCAAACTCTTCATAATGCCAGCTAACAACCGGAATCAAACATTGTTACTGGATTTTAGAGAGTCCACTTCTACTTCCTGAGGCCAAGCAGGCAGCTTCGTGTAATATTCCATCAGATGGGGTGAGCTGGTCTTACCTCTATCCCCCACCAGCACTCCTCCTGCCCTTGGCTGGCTGCATGGTGAGTCAGATCAGCAACATCTTTAGCACTCATCTAAGAGGGCTGCACCGATACACCTGATACACCATAAGTCATAACCTGATTCTCACAGGTTGACAAGTCCCAGGTGCATGATGGTACTTCAGGCACTTGCTACTGCCTGAGTCCAGAATATTGGAGAGGAAAATTGCTAACCAACGTTCCTTGCCTTTCTATGAAAAAAAAAATCAATTGGGCCTGAGTCTGCAGTTGTAGGTTCTAGGGAGTATTCGGATCATTTCTGCTCTTTAATGTTCAGACAACCGGAAATCAGGCTCAAAATTTTGGAATTTTTTGTTTGTGCTTCTCAAATTCCTTTTGAATTATCTTCCATCCATTTTAAATTTGCTATTAATAAGATTTACTGACCAGATCAATGACCATTGTGTCCTCAAATTCTTCGTTCATATCCTCTAGCTGACCTCGTGAGGACATCATTACATCTTCAAAGATGGGCTCAGCATCATCTTCCATTAGACCTCGTCTGATTAAATAAAGACAAAGAAAAAGTAATTTCCAGGCATTTAAATTTCCCAACCATGATCTTCGTCATTAAAAAGAATGCACAAATCCTATCCCTTAATGCTTTCACATAAAACCTTATGCTGAGAATAAACCCAGCATGCTTTCTGTAATATTAACTGGAAGAAAATCTTATGTAAAAACAAACTTAGCACTTGCAGAGGCTAAAGCAGGAAGTCCCGTGTAATATCATTATAAACAATAATTAAATTTGTCCCTAACAAGAAAAGGTCTTGCTTGCCCTTTTCCAAAAAGGAGTTACGCTGTTTGCCAGGATCACTGGTAAATCTCTGGGAATCCAGCAGTGAATCCAAGACCAGTTTCTAACACTGTAGGGACTTTATCTCGATAGAGACTCTGGCCCCCATCCTGAAAGATGTGCTGGAAGACTTGGTTGGATCGGCACCAGAGCACCTAGCACAACAGAACACTTCAGCATTCACCCACGAGCATTCCCTCCATTAGCTGCCCAGTGGGATGCCTTAGCAAAAGATGATGTGGATGGAAGAAGCATAAACAGGTTCACGGGAAGACTGGACAGCAACTTGGAAGAGTTCAGGGGGAATTACTTAACAGACAAATCATGGAAACCCCCTGAAACAGAAACAGTTGAAGGCTGGGAGAGAATAACAGGGAATTGTGCCATGTCTGTCTGACCTGTTCACTAGGCACCTGCTTATGGCCACAGTTAGAGACAGAACGCTCGGCTAGAGGGCCACATGGCCTGGTGTCCATTCCAACATTGCAAAGCTGTTACTCTGCCTTCATTAACAAGAGTTAAAATGTCACAGAAATTACTGGCAACAACCCAGAAAAGATAACATTTAAAATGCGGCATTGTCATCTAAAATGTTTCTGATCTGGAGATGAGGATGCTCTGAACACTTACACTGCATGCCTTACACCAGTTCTCCCTTTCATGTAGTTCATTCCTGTCCTGTCCTTTCGATTTAAATCTTCTAGCTTCTGTTGGCCCAACCAAGATATCTGCATCTGGGGACTAACAAACATAAAGCAGCATTATGACTGAGAACACTAACAATTTTGAGTTGGCTATTTTTAGACAATATCTATCTCCTCAAGTTTTGTGTCTGGCCATACTTCAGATTAAGATATTTAAATCACATCCATCATTGTACACGTCTTCTGGATTCCCTTCCACAACTTGTCTCCTCTCACTGTATGTGCACAAAAAAAATCCATTAATTGTTGTAATAAAACCAGCTACCTAAAATGCTAACATTACTCATTCATTAGTGTGACATGCACCTGAAGTGGGAGCACTTCTAAGATTCATTTTATTAAATCCTACTTCACTGTCTCAGATCAGGCAAAATATGAGCAAGAATAGATCCAAATTAATAACTGACACATTTTAAATCAAAAATGTCACACAGCATGAAAAACAAATAGATTTTAAATATATACCCTGATCAACTTAAGCATCCAGTAACTTATCCACATGTAAATACTTTAAAGGCTGTACTTTTAATACCATCTAAATCCAGCAGTAGAGAGCAATGCATTCGATATGATTTGTGTACTGCAGCACAAGGAAATAGTAGTAAAGTGCAGCTCTTCAAGAGCAACACCAGTTTTTATTTTATTATGCAGTCTTGTACCCTAATAAGATTGACATAATAAACTGGGATAACCCACGTGAAAACAATCTAGAACAAAATATTCTTCTGGACATGATTAATCCCATTAGTTCAGCAACTGACTGCTCTGTATTTATTTTACGTTTTAGCTCTCCTAAGCTAACCTGTAGGAAATGCATGTGGCAGCTAACTCCAGGCTGAAAGGAAAGGATTCTCCACTGTCAGTTCACACTGTGAACTTCTATGTGGAATCCAACTCTGAAAGTAACAGGGAGGAGAGCGATGCTATCTGCCTTTGCTCAACAGTTCTCTGCTCGCAGCATTCATCTGAGATAGGAGAAACAGAGGTTCAAGCCCAGGGTGAAGAACCTGGTTCAACTTCCCCCCCAGAGAAGGGGAAGGTTCTCCCACAGCTTAAGGCAGTGCCTGCTCATCAGGCTCAGGAGTAAAACACAGTGACTGGAAGCTGTCCCACTTTCCATAACTAATTAAATGTTCAGAGAGAGATTTAGCTTAGTGATAGGTGAGATCAGAGAGGGTCAGGAAGAAAGTTCTGCTTCAGTAATTTTCTTGGTTTTGTTTTTACTGCAGACTATAAGAATTTTAAGGAGAAACTGAGAGCCACAACATCTTCCTTATAATCTAGAAGTTATGGCAACATCTGGGGAGGCAGGCGATTGGGAGGCAAATCCTTGACCTCAGAAAGGCAAGTAAGAGACATCAACCCAGACCTCACATACTGTGGGATTAAGGTGAAAAGATACTCTAGGACTGACACGAACAGGGGGCTCTTCCTCAGCTGTGCTTGCTTTGTGGCCAGCTGGGATTACCTGCCAATCTGAACTGCATAGGTGATGAAATCCATGCCCAGGCTTGCCTTGTGTTCGCCTGTTTACATGCCAGCCCTCCTTCCTTCCAGACAGCACCAGCTGGGAAAACTCAAACCCATGTAAGGCCTTTGCGCAGGACCACACATATCCCTGCCTGCAGTGTGAACCAGCCCGGCCAGCCTGCCACCTTATCTCACACTGTCTTATGGTGATGTTACATGTTTGATATGGGGAAGGAAAATTGGCTGAACTCATTTATGGAAATGCCAAATATTATGTGCTCCAAAAATTAATAGGTATTTGTAGCCAGCAGCTGAGCTGCCAGTATCTCTTGTGGTGGGCACAGATTAATGGATCATATCAAGGTTTAATCTGTTGCACTGCTGATGCCTGGGCATGTTACACACACAAGCAAGGGAAGGGAGAAGAATAGGTTATACTTTCAAAAGTACATTTCTTTAGAAGTTGTTTTGATTTTTTGAGACCCTATGGTCACAAATCGGCAAACTTTAATAGCTTATCCAACCCAAACTATTCTATGATTCTATAACATGGTGGTATACATACACCCTTGTCATTTGAGACTGGAGAACATTTTTACCTTCCCATGCAAAATGACCATTATGAATTATTTCTATTTAGAAAATACTATGATTAAAGAATGCAGGATGAAGCTGTAAAGTTTAGAATTGAACAGGGTGAGTGCATGTTCAGGAAGAATTGGGAAGGTGGGGAACGTGTATCAAGAAAAACATGATGGACAAAAGCTGGAGGAAAACCAAGGGGCCTAATCTGGCTATTTATACTATACTACATTGGTAGAAACCTGATTTGTCTGGCCAGCATAGTATGACTTTTTTATACAGATAAATCAGATCAGTAAATTTGGCTATAAAAGTTACAAGATAGTCTCCAAACCAGATATTATTATTCTGTATCTTCAAATTAATAGAAATATCACATAATCGCATTCTCTGCAGACTTCTCTATTCTTAAATAAACTACTGACATAATAACCAACATTTTTTCCCCTCTAAATGGAGGTGATAAAATGGGAGTTGATTGACAAAAAGTATATATAATTTAGGGCAAAATAAAATTGCCTGCAGGCAATTATCCCAGAAAGAGGAATGACTACCTCAGCAGCTAGAACTGGACTGAAGAGTTAATTTACAAGAAATCAGTTAGGATGTCTGGAGAACCTTAACTGTACTATGACACGGGGCAGAGGGAAAGGAAAGAGAACATCTAATGGATCTTTAGAGAAACAGTTCGATCCAGCCTGGGGCCACAAACACTAGAAAGATTTAACCATAATTGCATGGTTATGCTATGAGATAATTTTAACATAAGGAATTTCTACCATGATTTCATGACAATGTATTCTTCCTGGGAACTGAAAATAATCGAAGTATTGCTGAGCTATAGCCAAGACATTTCCAGTTGGTTTTGCAAATAAATGCTGCATTTATGGAGCCACAGACTATCTGTGTAAATAACATGCAACTCCTTTGCCTGGCTCACTGTATTTGAAACTTACTTGTGTAAAAAATCTTGTTCAGATCCCTGCTCCGACTCGTGCTCCTGGATCTGCTCTCCCATTTGTCTAGTGTTCTCTCTCAAGACAGTTGAGGTGAGCTGTGGTGCTTGCAGTGTCCCTGGAGTATGTATGTTTTCATTCCTGTTCAGCCATGAGCCTTCTAGACTCTCATCTAGAAAAAGAACATTGAAAGTTACTGGCACAGTTCTGATAATATGCAGTCCAGTATTACTGCCTTCAGGACTCGTTCAGCCAACTCACTGAACGAATACCTTGCATTAGTAATGAAAGCCTTCCGTCTATTGACACACTTCGATACAGTTGATTTTAGTTGCAGCACCTTCTCCAAATTTGATTTTCAACAGTTCAGCGTCTTTTAAAACAAGTGTGCCTTCAAGAGATCAACTGGATAAATACTCAAAATGATGACATTTTCAGCTCTGATTTTTGTGTTCTTTTAAGGAAGGATTACTACCAGGTATTCCCATCAATAACAACAATTTAAAGTAGAAATATTTAACAAACAAACAAAACAACCCCATTGTAAACAAATATTGTATTGCAGCACTACCTAACTTGTCATGTCTTGCACACATATAACAAAGATAATTCCCAATCATTGAATTTACAATCTAAATATAAAATTATTAATCTCATGTGCATACAGCAACCAAGATACAGTTAAACACTAAGATGAGGGTGGAGGATAAAACCCAAAATCTGGTCAGCACAGATCTTTAGAAACTTCAGTAAGAACCATTTCAGTGGAGTAGAGGGGGCATTTTAAGTAAGAAAAGTGGTCTGGCTGGTGTGAACTCTAAATAGTGATTTCAGACAGTGTATTTAGAGTTTAGAGCAGATGGGAGGAATGGAGATGGGAAGGTGATTGAAGGTAGAAGTGGGATGCTGTGCATATTGCGAAAGGGAGCAAACCAGAGAGGAAGGAAGAGGGGGGACTTGAGGAGAATGTGATAGAGCAGACAAGTGTGTAGGCAAGAGACGTAGAAAAAAACCGTAAATTGCTGGAGGAAGTGAAAGACAGGGGAGATGACAAGAGAGGGGAAGGCAAGATCACAGAATTACTAACAGGAAGAAATGTGTGGTGAGAAAGTAGATGGGGATCTCAATGGATCTTTTCATTTTTCCTACGCCTTTTGTTACCCTTTGGGCATAAATGTTGTCTAAAAAGTTGCCTATTTATTCTTGAATTTACCTTTGAAGCTTTTATAATGTGAGAGATTTTTTTTTTTTAAATCCTATTTATGTTTGAATTCCTTAAGGCATTATGAAGAAATGTCACAGCGCAGATTTACTTTCAGTAGCAACAGGGAATGTTCTCCAACCCTGACAGTCTGCTTTACCCAATATATACTGGATTTAGATGAGAAAGGAACCATAGGGGACTAGTTATGGTTCTTTGATGCAAGGATAGTTTATGCAGTGACCCTGCCCTTGTTTTCGTTCCTTTAGAGTGGAATTTAAAGAAAAAAAAAAATCTTAGCAGGATTTAAAGAGACATCCACATTTGTAACTGTACTGCCAGATTAAGATTAAAGCCAGGACTTTTGGAAGAGTTATAAAAATATACAAAGATGAAAAGACAACAAAGACTTGTGACATACTACGTATAGATCATCAGTTAATTTGTAGGCAACCAGCTGTTTGTTAAGGCTGGTTCTTCATAGCTGAAGTTATACAGATGAGTGAACAGTAAGTACTTATTTCTGAGGATTAAATCTCTGATTATTTCATGAGCTCATTATTGGTACATACAAAATAAGACAGAAATCTATGTCTTTCTGTGAAAAACACAGACAACCTGGCTCCGGGTTTTCTTGGCTTTCCTTTTTCCAAGATTCAAAAGGAAGTATACTTAGGGCATAACACAATCAGTAATGCCTACTGCACATCAAGAAGCATCCAAAAATTAAGTATGTGGTGTCCTTCCGACTGTTTATATTATTGTGGGTTTGTTTTTAACATATGATATCAAACGTCCTGTATCAATACATGTCTAAACCAAGACTTTTGGTGCTTGCATTGCATATCCTTCTATGTATGGAAAGGCCATAGAGCTTGTGTTGCTGCTGTTATTACAGAGCACTTGCTGGTAACTTTTCAGTTCTATCATCTACCAGGCAGTCAAATTCTACAATGAAGGTATCTATCAAGGAAAAGATGGTTATGCTGTTATGGGCTAAAACAAACAATGATGAGCTAGACATCCTTCCTGGACCTATATACTGAGGTTGTATAGCAAAGCTTTCATGAGTAATGAAGGTCTGCGTAGTGATCTATGAATTTAAGCTCTATTAGGTTTCACACTGAAGAAAGGACAGTGGAATCACTTCCTAACCACTGTTCTTCAAAATGTGATGTCCTTGAACGTTATACTGTGATCCAGAGCTGTATTTGTAGTATTCAAAGGACATGCCTGTACCCCACCCACAAGAGCACCCCATGAGAGGCAGCATACATCAGTCCTTTTTCTGGCCACAGATTACTAAACAGGGGAATTTTGGGTTACTGTAGTGAACAGTGACATTAGACGACTCTGCCTAAGGTAAGAAAAATCCTGGGTGTCTTCTGATGACACACTGTTGCTAGAATGTAAACAGACCCTCATAGCCTCTGTAGATGTCTGAATCCTGTCAGACCCATAGTGAGTGTTGGCATAGTCTGTATTACAGCTAGATGATCTCCCGGTGGAAACTGCTGTACATTCAGATCTTTGAGGAACTGAACAAATAGCTGAGTAACCTTGCATTTGGCCTACATAATTTTTAAGGCAGTGATGTTTGTGGAAAATTCAGGACCACAGCTGTTGCAAAGAAAGGGAATAGTCAAATGTAAAGCGTTGCAGGTCAATTCTCCCTTCCACTGATGACTGGAAGAGGAGGACACGAAAAAGCATGAGGCAAACAATGCCATAAACACTACATTATAAGACTGAGACTTATTGGTAAAGTACAATAAAATAAAACGAAAATAGTAACAAGACGAAAGAAAAAAAACCTCAGCAGTTGAATTCTGTGAAAAATGTGGCATCCTGAAGGAAGCAGAACAGTGTCTGAAGAAAGGAAGCAGTATTTTATCTACTTAAATTCTAGGTTGGCTATAAGAAACCGAAGGACTTGGTGCACGTACTGCTCAACATAAGCTGTAGTGGAGAATGGACCTGATTGTAGAAGTGCATATGGACAAACTTTTGAAGAATATTTTGGGAAACTGCTGTATATTCAGGCAAATTGGCATTAGATTCCTCACTGAGGAGTTACTATCATAGATACTGACCTTGGAAAAATCCCTGAAGTTTAAAGATCCTACTTACACCTACTCTGTAGTGAAACAGTAAATTTATGTTCACAAAAGTACACACTACATCACACAGATTAACCAGGAACAGATGCAATCTTGTAAGAAATTGGCTGTCATAGCCAAATTCCTGATAAACATGCCTGAAGTCACAGAAAGAGTAAATATAGACACTGGATATCAATACAATTTTAAACAAAAAAAGGCGTCTTTCTAGTGTTCTCCAGTGGTCCTGCAAAAATACAGATATATGCAAGAATTTCTGCCTTGGGTTTGCTCTAACACCCTATTAATTAACAATGACTCCAGACTGAAGCATAGGCAGAAAACCAGAAGTCCATGACTGAGAAAGGTGTAGAGCAGATAACTCCACAAACACCTCCTGTTTCCAACTTCAGTAACAGCTTTTAATAGTTCTGAATCTGCAAATCTCAGAAGACAGACAAGAACAGGGACTCACAATGGTATCTCTCATAAAGAAGTGCTCAAGCTTGAACAGATATCTTGTTTTTACTACATACAGAATCTATCATGTATTTCAGCATTAACTGATAAACCATAAGGGCTCCTAAGAAGGAAGGCTGTAATATATGTACAAAATGAGAAATGCCTCTGCCAGGCAACCTAAAACCATACAAACCTTCTACTCTCTTTTTGTGGAGCGGTGGTCGTCCTTTCTTATTCCTCACTGAAGAGGCTTTGCTGCTGCTGCTTCCACTGTTAACGGACATTCTGTCGTCTTCGCCACCTGTAACTAGTGAGTTTCTATAGGAAATGAGTGGAAGCCATACATCTTCTCTTCTTTCCATCATCTGTTCTGTCAGAAACTTCTCTAAGTAGGAGTGACTGAAAATAAAAGACAATGAGTACAGAGGCACAGCACGTTGTTTGCTCTTTAATTTTTTAATTTCGTCTTTAATCTGCAAGCCCTCTTCACGTTGTTGAGAGCTTAACACAAATCCCACACGGTGTTTCCTTATTTTAATTTAATAACATATGCTGATAGGGCATTGTATCTCCGACTGAATAAGCATGTGTGTCATTCCCTCAAAACAAAGTAACATAGTTAATCATGCACAGGTTACTCACAGATAAACAATACAAAGCATTCTCTCCCCAACATCTTCCTCCCACATTTGTCCATGATCATTCACAGCACGCTCTACTTGAATTTCTTTTGTTTTGCATAGCGAGGAAGCCACTTCTATATATTGCTACTGTGTCAACAGACAGACTGAATTAGAACCACTATTGTGAAGATGTACGATACCCTTTTGCATCTTGGAATGAGAAAAATGGTTTCCTCAAATGCAAGCAGTTATTTTTCAATTAAAAAATGGAAGATCTGCTCCACTGCCATGGAGAAGTCCAATGCACACTTGTTAACTTATGGGAGGAACCAAACAACTTCCCTCCTGTATATGGTCTGGAGGGCATTTGAATTGTTTTCTTTTTCCATTTTCCATTGATTATTTAATTACAGTATTAGAAGTAGTCCTTAAAAAGAATATGCAAATCCACAGAAAAGCAATTCTAATGAATTTCAAGCTGCAGAACCAAGCACTCAGAATTTAGGCAAGAGACCTCAGGATTCTTCAACATTACCTCTACTCTTCATGCAACTACATTAGGGTACACCCTTTGATCATGATTTCATTTAATACCACATTGCCAGGTTGTCATCAGTGGGAGTCAAACCCACAAATTATGCATGGAAATGAACTCTCAATCTCTCTCTTCCTCTGTTAGCTCATGGCAGGCTCAAACTTCTTACGCGGCCTAAGTATCAGACTGAGAGAAGGAGCCACACTGTATGTGCCTGGGTAACAATCACATCCAATTCTTAAATGGGATTTTGTTCTGATTTAGTGAATAGGATGACTTTGCTCAAGAAACAGCAGTTTTCCTGTCTACTGTTTTATTCAATATTGTGACTGCTTCTTCCTTCCCCTTTTCATGTGTATACTGAGTAACATCCAAACCTTGCATTGAATGGGAAATTCTTGGTTTATTCTCTCTTTTACAGTACCAAACAGTACAACACTTGAGTGCTTCATGACTTTCGAGAATTTACCTGCGGAATAGTCTTGGAAAGTAAGAACTTTTCCCGCATCCAATTTATATTTATAAAACTAGAGTGCACAGGTTATGCCCGAATTGTGAAGAAGGAAAAACTACACCACTGGGGGGTTCTTTACTGATTAGACGCCAAACTGCTCAGCATTTTAGAGGAGCTTCATACTGGCAGTTCTTGCCAGTTTCAACAAGCACAGAAACTCTGAATTTCTCAAAGTAAGAACACCATGCTGAGGCTCCGTCCCATCTGACTTCAGACACCCAATAGTCAATTGTCTAGTCTAAGCTAACAGTCTCTATTTGAGAGAAATAAGTGGAAATAAATGCCTCCACAGGGCAATTCACCTCTATACTGTTAGGTGAATTCCTCAGGATTTCCCTGCCTGTATCTGCCTTGTGTGTTTGTAACTGCATTAGTATAAATCTTTTTCTGCTAAGTGTAAGAGCCTGGCACCTTAAATGTATGGTTTATATTAAATCCCTAGATTTGAATAAATCCATAAATGGCTATCACTGATTCTGGAGGTTACTCATAAAACAAGAAGCTGAATAAATAAATAGGATAGGAAAACTAAATTAAACCAATGTTGCTGCCCCATTCCCAAACTGGAAACATCTCCCTTTTCCCCCTCCAAATAAAAAAGCCAGCAGTAAAGCAGAAAGGAAGTAGAAGCCCTGCAAAAGAGCAGTGTTTGCTGAACTGTGACAGGAGTGGTATTTCGCAGCAAGGGCAGGTGACATATGCAGACATATCAAGTAGATAATTCATTTTCTTGGGTTGGGAAGCCAAGCTGGAGGACTTCTGGGTGACAGGCAGATGTATGCTCATGAGACTTTCAGGGTTATTCTAGAGCACTTTTGCCTCCAGACCAACAGCCCATTGCTGAGTTTAGGGACAGTCACTTGGCAGGAGGAGATCAAGCCAGGGAGGGAGGTAAATGATCCTGTACACAGGACTTCTCCACCAGATGGTGGTCACGTACCTTCCTGTTCATAGGCAACCCCTTTGGAGGGAGGGGGAGAGGTCCCTGTGGATTGGAGGAGTCATGCTACAGAGAAGGGCAAATCAACTGTCCAGAGTATAGCTGAGTATGTAATGTCAGTGAAGCACTATGGGCAATGCAGCCATTGCCTGATGGGTGCAAACACGACAGATCTTTCGAGGGAAGGAATGCAGATTATCTCCAAAAGAAATCTTTACATATAAGCAAGTTATCTTGACTCTTTTCACAGTCACCACAGCCAATGGAATCTAGGGCATGTCTGAACTCATCTTAAAGCGGTAATTGAGCACAGATCAGATAAATCATGTCCTAAAGGGCATATTTCTTTTCACTGATCTTCAAATTCGGCTAAAGTAAATAGCTCAGGTGACTACAATAAAGATGGGATCCATTTCTCCTGGTTTTACTTATCACAGCAATCTTTACAGTCCTGAGAAAGAAACCAGTGGTTGTGTATGTGGGGACCAATGAGTGGAGAAGGAGAAACTTTGAGAAAAAATTTTAAATGGCAACATAGAAGGCTAAAGAACAAGATCTCCTGAAGTACTGAATTTCATGCAAAGGATCAGGTCAAATTAAGCTGTCATGTAAATTGTACAGAATGATGTAACTTTAAATTTTAGTCACAGGAGAAGCTTGTGGAAGGGATGGTTACTGTACAGGAAGGATAAGCTTCACTAAATTAAACAGGAATCGGGCTAATGACACTTAAACTAACAGATGCAGGAGAACCTATGGTTCAGCTAGGAAGATAGTCATAAAATCCTGAAGTCCTCTCCTGAAGAATAGGACAGAGGTTGACAAGATTCAAGGATATAACAATGAAGAGCAGTTTCAAAAACTGAGTGCCAAGCTAGCCCAACTGGATCATCCAAATCTCAAGCTTGTTTAACTATTTCTTCTATATGGTGTTTGCTGAATTAACTAATTATTGACCCAATTAAAAAAATTAAATTGGTTCAAGTGTGTACACATTAAAAATTATACAAAGTTAACCAAGATGCATTTCTTATAACACAGATAAAGCTATAATATTCATAATTGTTAACCCTAACAGAAAAGTCCTTTAAAACCAATGTTTTCACAGAAAAAACACAGAAAAGTTTGTCAGAAAGAGTCAGTTGAGGCAGTTATAGTAGATACATATGACTTACACTCACTGTGGTCAGAAAATTGACTGGAAAGACATCTATAACCATAAATCAGAAGATTTGGCAATTGCATTTTTTAAATGGTCATAAAGTTATTCAAATAATTCAGTTCTACACTGGGCACATAGTGCTTGGCTGATTTTTGACTGGAGTCCTCTTCCTTTTTCCCTTACTACTTCTGTGCTGTGGCCAACTCCTGGATATTTGCTATGTAACTTATTAGAAATGTAGAGTGTTATCTCCGCAGCGATGCTGACAATATGACTTTACTATGAACTAATGGAGTTTTCTATTTGCCAATTCTGTTGATATCTGCAGCCCCTCTTGACAGTCTGTTCAAATGTTGCTCATAAAACAGTATTTCTTGCTCTTTATTCAGACCTTATCAACAATACCTCTGATTTATTTAATTGCCAGTATTTCATCTGCAGTAATTACCTGCCGTAGCAAATTCAGGCTGCTTGTTTTAGTCTCCCAGGTTTCTACCACCCTGTTCTGTCCTAACCAACAATACTGTCCTCTCTCAGCCTCTTTCTCTAACCTATTGTGCCAGTAACAGAAGCCTTGACAAACCTTTATTTCCCAGTCTAACTCACTATATTAAAATAAACAAATGTATGTTTACATTTTATGTAAATATCTAACAGAAAGAAATGTTACTGCAGTGTTTACAGGCCTGTAAATTTCCTGCACTGCTAACATTTCATTTCTTTTTTCTTCTAGCCTAAAAAAAAGATTGTTTTTTATTTTCAGTGCCCCATGGGAAATTTTAAGGAACATTGTTTTGTGAGGTCTCAAGCTCACCTCCCTCAGTGGATCTGATTCTCCTTTTCTCATTTATTTTTATTACTTTAAAATATAAACCAATGAATAACTATGTATGTGAAATGTCTCACTGGGACTTCCTATAGCCCCCATTAGACTGTCAAAACCTCAAAGCATAGAGCTTAAACACACACTACAGTGATTAACAGAGCCCAGCAAAACCCACAGAAGAAAATGGAGCATTACTTACACAGTCTTTTTGTCCTGTCGCAAGAGTTTAGAAGAAAATTCACTAAGCACTTCAAGGAAAGCAAGGTTAGGAGGTGGATAGTCTTGTCCTTTTTGATTCTGATATTTGAAGGCAAACTCTATGCCATCTCTACAGTAAAGAAATATTAAAATTTTCAGGCATTTGTAACAAAATAAAAAAAAAAAAGGCCATCCATCACTTCTAAATGCTGCCCAAAATCTGAACTGTGGTGAAATTCTTTATATCCCATCATAACTTTTTTTTTTTCCACATTACTAGCAAACAGATGCTTTTGGACAAAGGGGAATCAAATGTTCCCTCTCGATTTGTAAGGATTCAATCTCAAAGACATATTGTCAGTCACATGGTAAGAAGGAACTTACCACAATCTAAGAAACTTGGCAGGTGCTGAAAGCCACTGTCTTAGCAGGAATAGCCAATTGGCTCTTTCTTGTTTCTGCATGAAGCAGAAGCTTGCAATAAGAGTAATACGTAAGATATAACAAGATGTAACTTTTGCATCAAGAGTCAGAAAAGAGAATTTACTTACCAGTACATTGATACATGCATCTCTGCCTTATCTTTGCTTTATCATGTGAGACTAAAGAAAACAATTTACTTTCACATTATCCAATAAGGGCGCATGCATGTCTTGACTTCTCTTTTGCTTGGCACAGGAAAGTGTCTGGTAGCATTTTGGTCATGCTTTGCTAATCTTAGTCTTAATGACTTAGTCTCTGAGATAGCAAACTTTAATATTTTAATTTTTCTATGGCATGGGAAAGTCATAATTTAAATTTAGCAGCACCTTTCTATACTTTCCTACACAGCAGTTACATAAAAAGCTTCAATCCACAGAAAAAAAAAAAGATTTCCAACATATTTTTGGAATATCTTTTTATAAAAGCCCTTGGTGCCTACAGAATCCACAGTGGTGTGGTACAAAGAACTATCTACAGTCGTTAGATACAGTCCACAGAAATACGTATGATACCAGTGGCTTTACCTGAGATAGATAAACATGGCCATTCCGATAAATTCCAACAAATAATTAGGTAGCAGCTAGTTTTTCTTCCTTTCTTACATACATACATGTACACCCCCCACCATTTTTCTACATAAACTAGAAAAAAAGATATCATTATTCCAGAACCTGTTAAGATTACGTACCTTTAGAAAAGGTATGCTGAACAAAAGTTTTAATCTGAAGTAATGTAAAAATCTAGTTTATTTACCACCACTCACTTGTGTAGTGTGGCCACAGCCTCTCTTGTCTTGATCTGATCCAAGCCAAACGTGAGGGCAAACCGACGGGCCAGTTCCTTAATTCCACTAACATGGGCAGATGTCCTGTCCAAATTGGGACCTTGCTCCTGAACAAGCTCATTAAACAGCTAGAGAAAGAATTCAATTGTTAAAATCTGTCAGCTAGAAAACACTTTTCTTGAGAAAGACTTTTGTTCTTAAGCAGTTATGGTTAGGAGTGGACATTACAATGACTTTTTTCACAGAGATGTAACAGAGTTCTCTTATATTCAACTTCTAATCCACTTCAGTTCCCAAACTTTCTTCTGTTTAACTGTGGTTTGCCAACTGTCCCCCATCTTGTACTTGTGCGGATGATAACTCTTAAACAGAATTTTGCAGGTACCTTCATTGAATTACATCTATTATTCTCCCAACTCAAGATGGTTCTGCATTCTTATGCTGTTTTCCAAAATACCTACATCACCCGTCAGATCAGCATCTTTTTTGAATTTAGGAAGCAAAATATCCATTCCATCATTCAAGACAATGAATATCTGAACAGCATTACTGGGTAAATGCCTTCAAAGCCTGCTTGATAATGCCCTTTCAGTACAATAATGAACTACTCAGTAGTTTTCCAATTAGTTCTATATCTTCTGGTATTGCCATTTAGACCACATTTTCCTAACTTGCTAATGAGAATATCAAGGGAGACAGTGTCAGTGACAATATTAAATCAAGTTGCATTAAATCTACTGTTTCTCTGATATCCACAAGCTCTGTTACCATAGAATTAATGAAAGCAGCTTAATTTGACATGATTTCTCCTTGACAAATTCATACTGTCTGTTACCTATCACATAGGCACTTGCAAATAGCTTGTCTAATTTTTTTTTTTTATGAAATTATATTAGGCTGACTGATCTATGGCACCTGGCTTCTTCCTCTCTCCAAGTTTTAAAGACAGGAGCTACTTTGACACTCACTGATTCTTAGAATCATAGAATCGTTTAGGTTGGAAAAGACCTTTAAGATCATCAAGTCCAATCCTTAAGTTAACACGGCCAAGTCCACCACTAAACCATGTCCCTAAGCACCACATCTACACGTCTTTTAAATATCTTCAGGGATGGTGACTCAACCACTTCCCTGGGCAGCCTGTTCCAATGCTTGACAACCCTTTCGGTGAATAAATTTTTCCTAATATCCAACCTAAACCTCCCCACGGCACAACTTGAGGCCATTTCCTTTTGTCCTACCGCTTGTTACTTGGGAGAAGAGACCGACACCCACCTCGCTACAACCTCCTCTTCTGGAAGTACATCTGTTTTTCTCAAGTTTTCACAGATATCTCTCAGCTTCCAGATTGCTACAGGAAATCCCTTAGTACTCTGGAATGAATTTTGGGAGGCCCAGCTGATTTGAAAACATCTAATTTACAGAAGTAATTTCTCTATGTAATGGGTATAGCTGGTACTTCAAGGGCCTAAATGGTATTTAGTGAAGCACACACTTTGTGCTGTTGGCAGAACAAGGATAGATTTCATCATCAAGCCAATAATTTATGGTTGCTACAAAGCAAATTTTTCAGGGAAAAAACATGTTTAACAATATTGGAAGACTTAAGCTAATTAGCTTGAAGTTTGAAAAAATCAATCAGTATTTAGACAAAATGTAAAGAAGATGCATTACTTCCAGCTAATTATAAGAAGAAAAAGTCATCCTAATTCTTCTTGTTCACTAGGCACCAGTAAACAAATGCTACGTATCAAGTTTGGACCAAATTGCCTTCAAGGCTCTTCTCTCCCTTTCTTCCATTTTAATCGGACCAAAACTTTGCCAGTGTACACTTAAGGAGACAGAGATTAGAGACAAATGAACGGTGACAGCCTGAATTGAGGAGCAAGATAATGTCTTAACAGAACTGTAGTATTTTCGCTTCATTGTAAAGTGCACCAGAGAAAATCCTGTTCAGTATTTTTTGCAGTGAGGCATTTCTAACAAAAATCAATATTCTTACCTGTTGCAAACTGAGAATGAGTGTCTTTGCACACTGGATTTTATCAATTTGCCTTGTTTTGCTCAGGGTTTCCTTAATGATATCTCCATAGTCATTGTAGTACTAGGAAAAAATGTGGAAAGAACCCTCTTTAAATCTTTAAATTTAACCTGTAATACAACTCCTTACGGTTTTCCTGATAGAAAGATTACTTGTAATTCTTGTTGTGAAAAGGCAGCAGTTGCTAAAAAAACTAATCTCAAATCCAGGTTTTTTGTATGAGTGGGAGGCAATGTTTCAATATCAAAATTTAAACTGATTGGTAGCCAGCACCCAGTAATGAGAGAAGGAAATTCTGTATTTGTTATGATATTTTCTAACAAATATGTTGAAAAACAAACAAAAGAGTATTTCCTACCCCAAACTAAATATTTGATGAAAGTGACCCATGGCTGCAAATTCTAAGAAACAACATTACATTGAACCAACGCACCCTTCAACAAGTAGGTGTGAACAGGCACTAGCACACAGGTGTGAAGCTCCATATACAATGCAAGGTGAGTTAGATGGCCAAGAAAGGAATTCACTGAAGCCAGAAAGCTGAGTAAGGAATTAGTCAGTATGAAGTGCTGATTTTCTTTTCTGTTAGAAGAATAGTTCCTGAAAACCACAGCCTCTGGTACTGACCATTTGGGTAGAAAAGCCTGTATAATCATTAAAACTTCCAGACTGAGAATATAACATTTTCTTCTCCAACCAGTATTCTTTCAGCCCGATTAGTATTTTTGCATTTGCAACCACTTATTTTCATTCCCTCTTAAATATGGCTCCTGCCTTCTTTGGTACAGAGATCCTTCTTGTTTGTATTCCAATTTAAATTCAATTTCTCCCACTCTCCCCCCATTTCAAGAGAAGGAAGGGCATGGGGAGAGGAGAAGACCAACCTAGAGCAGCAGGTAGGAAACTAACCTGGACTGTGACAGCTTCAGTTTGAAAGACTAACCTTGAGTAGTGACCTGGCTGATGGCTAGAGTATGCACTAGGGATTTTATTGTACTGAGTGCTCCTAATGAACAGGAGAAGGAGGATTTAAAGTTAAATCATTTATATTTCGCATCAACATCTCAAACACTATCTATAGTAAAGGACCTGCTCCCCACTCCAGGTTTTCCTCCTTGATTGTCACCTTTGTGATGACTAATCCCTTAAAGAGAGACAGGTGAGGTATACCTGCCAATTTGATATAATCTGAGGGGCTTTGTGTTGCTTGGCAGTGTCAGGACTGCTAATGTGCCTGTTTTCTGGCAGGTAAACTTGCAACTACAGGGTGCAGTGGTAGCTGAGCAGCAAGTCTTTCTGAATGTCATTGGGCCTAAATAGTGTATGGAAGAAGCGTTAAATTGGTAAGACATTCAGTTAATGCATACCCACTTACAGCAGTACCATACAGAGTTGTTTTTTTTTTTACTGCTTTCCTGTTTAAAACAATCTTTTCTCACAAAAAAACCTTATGGCAAGCGCCAAGATTGGGTGACTCCCAGTCAAATATGACATTGAACAGATAACTTATTGTGGATTCTAGGAATGAATTTGAGGAGCAGGATAAGAAATTCTCTGTAGAGAGGAGCCTCTCTGGAAATACTCAGCACCTTGTAGGACCAACTTTTGGTGCTGCCTTTAATAAGGTACTCCTGCTACATAGGAGAGGAAGTTCAAAGCTTACCGCTTCTCAGTGGCAGGTGTAATTTAGAAAGGAAAAACTATTACAAGAAATCAAATAAGGCTGGAAAAGCTTTTCAACCTTTAACTACTGCACTGGAAGGGAGAGGAAGAGGGGCCCTGACACTACAATCTGTGTTCAATTAGGAAGAGGAGAATACACAGAGCTGTACCTTCATATAGTGTTTGAAGATATCTGCTGCTGCATGCATGTCCACAATGTCATAAATTATCAGCTTGCTAAAGGCAGCCAAAAGGTTTCTTCTCTTATGTAAAGCTTCTATTTTGTTAGCTTCATCTTCTTCATCTCCCTCTGAAAGCATCAACATAAAATGTTTATAAGTAACTGCTATGTTCTAAAGCAACATTAGCGAAGAGTAGCTTTTAGAAAAAAATCAATTCTTTAAAATGAAGCAAGGATTGTTGCAGGAACAGCTAAAATGAAAGGTGATAATTCTTGAGTCCTGCCTATGTTAGGACCTTTAGGAAAGTTCAGGAACATGACACACCATTGATCAAGGATGCTGTAGTCCTGAATAGGTACTAAACATAATCCACATGGAACTGAATCGCTTATTTTCTTTACCCTGTGAAAGGCCACAGTGAAGACTTGTTGAATGCTTTTTGCCTGACTTCTGAAACATTTGGAGATGCTTCTTTAACATGACTAAGCTATAAATATTTCATGAGGAAAATTAGAAGCAGCAATACTTCTACTGCATGCCTTGGATTTTCAGATATGAAATCGATGGCTCTAAAGCATCAATAACAACAGGAAGTAAAATTCAGCTGTAAGAAACATTAACATTGAATGGCAATGTCAAAAGTATTAAGTTCCCATGTAAGACTCCACTCTGTGAATGAAAATGAAACCATACACATAAAATGTGAAATAAAGTATCATATAATAAAAGCATATGACACAACTTATATAAGAAAATGAAATCAGCTATGACAGTTGTGATAAAACTAAATATTCTGTGGTATTTAGAAAAGCCTGTTCTTGGAGGGAATCTTCCAACCAGTTTGAAGAAGTACAGACCTGTGCAGGGGGGAGGAGGGACATCGTGTCAACTGCGACTCTCTTGCTGCACTCTTACTAGAGTCCCCACAGAGCCACAGTACTTAAGTCACATATTTGATCACAGGAAATCTCTTACGAGCAGTGGAGTTGACTGAATATGCATGCATGTTTTAATCCTGAGATGCTTTAACCCACAGAATTGAAGCCCATTAGCACATTCCCCCTCCCCCTCCTTCCTTAATTTCTTTTTATCATTACTGATGTGTTCTGAATACCAAAAGTTATAAATGGTCAGACTGACTTCATGGAGTCAGAGCAGCATTAGGGAATGGAGATTACATACAAAGATCTTCATCCGTCTTTTTGCTGTCTTCCCAGTCCAATCACAGGATGTTAAAGAACAGCAATTTTGCTAAAGAGCAAAAAAAAATTAGACACTGTCCTCCTAAAATCTATCCTTTAGGTATAATGCTGAACATTGAACTCACAAAATATGATTAACTGCACATAGATTTCTGGTGAAGGTGTGTTTCAAAATGTATTCTTCCCAGGAATCCTTAAAGAGATGCTCAACAAAGAAAGATGTTAGCTACTGAGGAACTAGGGAACTAGAAGACTGAAAGCACCTTTAGAGCAAGAATACATTCTCTGAGACCTTACTTCTAAGTATTGCTGTCTTAAAAGATCTAAAATAGCAACTATGTGTCATGCTAACATACAAGTAACCGAGTACAGTGGAAATTCAGAAAATGTGCCAAAAAGAGCACTGCAGTATGCACTCAGCAGCTCTTTCGCATAGTTTGACTATCGGGGAATCCATCTCTTGTCCAAAGTTATTTAGCATTCAGAAATTGGGTACTTCTGTACTTGCATTTAGGCATTTATAACACACACCAGCAGCACCAAGTTATTTAAAACCAGACCTAATTGGCAAATCTGCCTCTCCCTGACTGAAAGCCAAAAATTTCAAGACATCCTTGTGAGGAGGTAGAGATGGGGTCACGTCAAACTCTGGCCTCTCAAAGCATGGCCATGCACAGATGCCTAGGAAAGGGCAAGAAAGTAAGCAAGCATACACGATACTTTCTCAAGTACTTTCCTAGTCTCCAACCAAATCAGTGATGTCCTGAGCTTGATTTGATTATTTTAGGGAAGAGCTGAAGGGGTGTTTATTTAGTAACGTCAGAGTTTCTTAAGGCCTTCTTTGTCAAGAGCTTTGCTGGTAAGGTTTGCCTTCAGGATCCTATAACTCTATTTAGTAACTCTAAAGGATTTCTCTGCCATGTACTGTTCCATCGTACTTCCTCCCTTGAAGCCATATTAAATGAAGTCTGCTGCTGAACTAAGACGGTACTGTTTTGGAAATAAATAATAAGAAAAATAGATCAGTAAAGGAAGAATAATTTTGTCTAGATTTATAGCATGTAGTTACAGGCCACTTCCATGTCTTCTTAAAACATCTCTTTTTATGAAGTGAACTTTATAGGTACTTATTCTTTTTTAACACAAGTAGTACTGAATACTGAATATTTCATATTCACACTTCCCAAAAATAAAGAAGGAATAATTCTGAAAACATTTGAGCAAACTGATCTGAAAATTCTATTTTCTTCTTTCTTCTGTGTCTGTTATGAAAAAAAGCTAAGTAGAAAACATGAAAGCTAAACATACCCATGCTCTGGTTTTCATCATCTTGGTCAATAAAGACATGGTCCATCACGAAACTGAGAAGTTCTGACTGGAGGCCTGAATCTGGATTAAACACCAAAGGTTGAAGACCTTCTCGACCTCCAGTCATCAGCTGATGACTAAAAATCATCAAGAGATCACAGAGCAGCATGAAAGCCTGAAAGGCAAAAGAGAATGAATGTAGTAAGAAGCGTAAGTAAGTGAAAAATAAAATACCATTTATTTAATTTCCAGATAACCCCTGCTATTATTATTAAATGTCCTTCGTTAACTGTACTCTGCTGTAGTTGTTTGTGTGCTGTGAAAAGTGTTCATGAGGGTTTCCCCTAACTTTAAAATGTTATGCCTTTGATTTCTATGTAAGGAACTGTGTTTACTATCTCTTCCATGTTCAGGATGATCCATATTAAACTTCCATTTCTCCTCTATGAAAAGAACTCTAAATCTACCTCTGATCCAAGGACTGTAGCCAAATTTGTAGTAAAGAATAAACACCTCTTTTGGTAAACAGTTGGAAAAATTAAACAAGCAAAAAAATTAACAACATTGTGAGTGAAAATCCAAGCTGAGTCACTGTCAGATCCCAAAAATACAGAGAAGCAGCTGTAAGCAAAGAAATCCTTGCAGAATTTCATCAACAATTCTCTGCAAAAAGAATCAAGTAACTCTGCACAGCTTTCAAATCTAGATAAAAGCCAACCAGGGCAGAATTTTCAATGATTTATGCTCATTACTATTATACGCTCATTACCTGAGAACAGAGAAAGGCGGCAGCTATTAATAACTACTTCTTTAAAGGGCTTATCTGTATACTCTCATGCACAAGAACAACACTTTTTTCCCCAATGGCTTAAGTCGGAGTGTCATAGCCAGCTGTATTCTGTTGCATTACATTCAACACTTGAGCACCTTTCAGAAAGTACTTTTTAATCATCTTAGTTTCTCTGTCTTTAACCTCAGGTTCTGAAAACTGAGAAAGAGGAAGGTTCAAAGTATGAATGTGTAAAAAGACTCCTAGAAGATCTATGCTGGATGTGCTGTCTCTTTCCCCAGAAGCCTGCAGGAGTCTCACTCAGGGCAGTGTCAATCACCATTCCCAGGTAGGTGGTAGACCAAAGGCATTTTCAACTGAAGAGAGATTGCAGGATAGCTCTCACAGAGTCATGAAATCCAATGTAGGCTTTGATTCAGCCCTATATCCCCCCTCTACAAACAGCTGAACAGAAAGATAGTTAAATGTGTGTTTAAACATATTTTTGAACCAAGCCTAAGGAAAAGTAGTGAGCGAGAGCATCTGCTTTACAAACCTCCAAAATGAAATCTTTGTGAATGCTGAACGTCATAGTAGCTCACTTATTTCTTGGGGTATGTTATAAAATCTGAATGAGCTATACTTAGGCGAGAACAAAACGCAAATCACTGTAAACTATGTTCTACTTAGACTTTGGAGACAGATGCCAGTATTTGGGATTTTTCTCCATTGGATCCAAAAAGTTGTGATTCATTTCACTGATGATCTCAGCTGCTCTAAAGTCCTTTGATACTCACTAGAATTTAAGCTCATCCTAATGTAGACCTCTAAAAAAGAGCATATGAATAATGCACTGAAAGTGCTTATTTCAGTCCTATATGAAGACAGCAGTGGACTCAGATACAGATGTCTACATATTGTAGACACGTCTAGTCACAGGAGATTTATTTCACTCAAATAGTCTAGGAAAATTTGAAATGTTTGAGTCCTGTTTCTATAAATACTTAATACTTTTTCCTTCCTTTGATATGTACGTTGATCTTCTCTGGAAAGAATGTATAGATCAAGAATCAAATATACTAGGGAGACAATATAATTTACATAGAATTCTCAAAAAAATCCAGTGAAACAAAAGGATTAAGAAGCAGTCCTGCACTTGCAGAAATATACTTTTTAAGGAAGAAAATTAAAAAGATCATAGAAGTGTTAGTTGGAAGGGACCTCTGGAGTCTCTAGTCCAACCTACTCTGATTGGGACACTTGCTGTCTCTAGCTCTGGTTGGTCATGGCTTTGTCTAGCTGAGGTTTCAAAGCTTCCACAGAATTTTGAACTGCAAAGGAGCTTCTAAGAAAAGTTTAAATTACCAGTGAAAAAAATAACAACAGAATAAAAACATGTTAATATATATCAAGAACAAAAACATTGCAGTAATGGAAAGGATCATTTACCATTTGTTGATGCAGAAAAGACATTAGTGCTAGCTTAAGCTAGAATGGTTGGTATTTTCATGAAGCTAGGTGATATTTTCACATTATATAATATTAATAAAATATGCCAAGAGTAACTACTCAGAATATTAAAAAACAATTAAAGTTAAATCTGCTGGAAGACAATGACACATCAGTCTCTCTTAAAAATACATGAACTAGTGACATCTCTGAGCTCTTAATATTTTTATTTATCAACTTGCAGAACACAGTGTAAATGCCAAGCAGAGCTATCTTTCAAAAAAAAAAACCTGTCCCTTAAGAAGTATTATCTTTTAAAAAACACAGGCAAAAACCACAGGCCAGTTAGTTACAGTCTTTGCAAAATCTTGGGAGGTGTGATAGAAGTGCAATATGTAGACAACTAAAAGATATCAACAGACTTGATATAAATCAGCATATATTCATAAAATCTCAGCAAACAAACCAGCTTTTTTTTTTTTTTTTTTTCACAGACTGCAAATTATTTCAAGAAGCCCTTGGATTTCATTTCTTTTATTTCAATTTCTAAATTGAAATATAGCAGAAGCTTCCCACTCCATGCATGCGTGGCTTTCCAAAAATCTACACCAGAGAATGGGATAACTACACTGAACCGTAAAAAAAATCTGATACCTTATTATGCAATCATATTTCACATATATACTTTTGGCATATATGTGCACACACATACACATGCAGAGAGATGCACGCACTTAAGTTTTCAGTCAGCCTACCAAACAGGATAGCACAGCAACCTAAGCTATAACCGTTGTATTGATGAAAATCTTTTTAGATTCTCCAGATCTTTATATTTCTATAATGAAGACACTGTTTAAATAGATATTTTACTCTGATTTCTCAAGGAGACATAAGTATTTGTGAAGTGATGATTTTTGCATAGTGTGAGAGGACACTACATTCTTAGTGTTACTCAGAGTATTTTTGTGAAATGAATTAACTTTTTTCCTGCTAAAAAATACGCAGTAGTATGACCTGTGCTGCTAGAAGCCTCAATTTTCTCCCTTTAGCCACAATGGGAAAGAGATGCAATCATTAGTATTCACCACTACATTTAATGGAATTATTAGGATAACGAAATAATGAAATATCACTGATGCTTCAGGCATTTCCCTTTGGCAGGAAAGCAGTCACTCTAGACTCCCTGTTAGTCAATAACAGGGGGAAAAAATCCAGAAATATACAGAGAAAGATTCAGCCCATTTGAGGTCTCAATCACCCCCTAAAAGTGCCTATTTCCATCTGTTAATACAGTAAGTGTCTAAAAGATTAGGCTTTTATTTTAGGTGATTGAGATAGATGCCTAAAGTTATGACAGCTGAACATGAGCCTAAGTGTCCAGGTAATCCTTATTGTTATATCAAAAATGAATTTACATTAGCTGCGCTTTGAAGGTGCTTTTAATACAGCTCTTCTTATGGAGTGTTTGTTCAGTTTTATTTAGACAGAAGGCACAGACGATTTTACTTTAAGTTTGAAATAATGTTGTCTTGAGTTTTACTGCAGTTTAATATTCACACTTTTCTAAAAGCATGTGACAGAATTTCCTTTCCCTGTTCTTTGACCGGAGTGTTGACATTTGATAGACACTGCTGGCAGACAGCCAGAAAGGATTTCACAGTTTTCCTCAATACCAACAAGTCCTCCTAGAATAAACATTAAAAAGGGATAATATATAAATATTACTAAAAAGGTTGCTAGGAAAAAGCAAAATAAAGAGATGGTGATAATTTCATACCTCCAATCCCATAAACTAGCCAAACAAAAAAGGCCATGAAAAAATATGCTATTCATAGAGCATAGAGTAAAACAAGTCATTAATTTTCAGAGGAATGACCCCAAGTTTCCCTGTAATAAATAATAATAATAAACCAATACATTCCTGAGTTAAATTGTCTGTATTTTATATCGAATGTAAATTATAAATGTTTCAGAACAAGAAGTTTAGTACAACAAGGCCAGCCTACCTGGTGGTTTATAAAGAATTCTGTACTCAGATAAATCAACACGAACAAAAAAGTAAAATACCAATGAATGTCTCAAGGTCAACAAAAACATTATCCTAACTGCCCGCAGACATGGGAAATGTGAAAGCAAATCACAGAACCTGACGAGTTATGGAAGAAGGAGGGAGGTTGGTTGATCTGGAGAAAGAAGGATTTGTGGGTGGAAAAGATAAATGAATGACTGTTCCTGATCACCTTGATCTAGAGACAACTGATGTGTATTTTAAATGTGGGTACCAGAAGTCTACCAGCTGTAGACTTTGACCTGGGGGAATTAATGCTGTACCCTGACGAATACTTATTTTTTATGGATAACAAAATAAACTAGTGAAAGCAAATCAAAACAAAACATAAGATACTGGAGCATAATCATAAGAAAACAGCAAGTATCGTAACCAAGAAACATACTGAAGATGTACATGGCTTCTTGGCACATACTTAGTTACTCTGTTTTACAGTAGTAATAAACCAAACACCAAGAAGAAAACAAGAACCAGAAATCACTAGGACTTTGTGTTAGCTTCAAGTTTTGTGAAAGGGACTAGTTTTGTCAGCATTGATTCATAGATTCTGCTACTCTGCATTGCTCAGGTGATACAAATGCTTCTGCCCTGTCTGCTCCTGCCTGCCATACCATGTGTCTCCCAGCACTCAGATCTCCTCCCGTGCCACTAGCAGTTCTGCCCAGGGCCCCACAGATGACAGCATTTCTCACATGCACCTGGGACCATTGCTTGAAAGATCTTTCCCTTCCCAGTTTTCACCATCACTGGTTTCATGTAAAGAAGGGATCGTAACAGCCATTAATTCACACTGAGACTGCTGGCCTACCGCTGCTGCAGACTTTCCTCCATGATGCCCCTATCAGCTTTCAGATGGAAGACCACGTGCCCTACAGAACATCCATCCTAAATCTAAAGAATCTACATAGTGTACATGCAACATTTTCCTTGATAAAAATTCCAATTTTTAATTATGCTGGCTGTTCAGTCCATGTGTCTCACTTCTAGTTTTAGCTTCTCTTCTTGTTATTCTTTGTTTACCGAAAAGCCTTTTTGTGGTCCGTATATTCCCTCTGTACTGGTTCACAACAGAAGGCAGGTCTGCAAGCGTGCCGAAGCTCCCCAAGTGTTCCTAAATCTCTGAACCTCTTCTAATTTTCAATAGAGTGAGTGTGATTTTCTGATATGGACACTGAAGGTCTATGAGCTACCTCACCTTCCTATTCCTATTAATTTTTTCTTTGATAATATAGCCAAGGATCCCTTTGTGCCACTGCATTACATTGCCATTACATGATCTGTAAGACAGCTCTGCTCTAGTCTAAGTCCCAACTTTCCACTCATCAGCCGTCTTGTTCCCAGATATAAGCCTTCCATTTGGCAGCATTAAAATGCCTCTTTCTTTTTTTAATTGTATTTTGTTTACCAATTGATCTATGTCATCCACATTTTAAATACCTTCACTTTACCTTTTCCCTGATGATTGGTAAAAATCATCAGTTTTTAGCAGAGAATGCATCTCTCCTGGAATGCATCAGAAGCTATCCCCTTGTGTGAGGATTTCCCACTTAGAATTTTTTCTAATATATTAACCAGCTTTGAGCTATTGACTATGAATTACATTAAATTCACATATTCACCTGAAATGCAATGTGATACTAATGTCTTACAGAAACTGGTATTTCAACTGGTCTCCTTATCAGTCAAAAATGCAATCTTCTCAAGAACAAATTTATTTGTTCTTTCCGGTCTTATCTGTTGGCCATGTTCTTTCTGCCCTTCAGCCTTGTACTGACTGTGTTTTCTATCAGCCAGTCCAAGATTTTACCTAGGACTGATGCCAGGGTTATCAGTTCACTGTTACATAGTAATCTGATTTACAGCTTTAAACATTGGGATTACAATCACTTTAATAACTTCCTACTTTCTATCACAATTATCTTCCATTTCAATGGATTCAATAAACTAAAACCTATGAAAAATCCTATATAAAGTTTAAAAAGCAAATGAGCATGTCTCCCACTTTTTTTTTTTCTATCAAAGAATGAGTAACAGGTAGGTACACTTTATGTATTATCCTGTCTTGATAGCATGACAAAGATTCCTTTTGAAAAGTTACAGACAGCAGAAGAAAGCCTGACTGAACAGTGCAACAGAGCCATCTGGAACTTTTCTAAATTTGGAGAAATCCCCAGACTACTAGAGAGTGGTAATTTTTTAAAAAACAGAAAATGGTAAGAAAAAAAAGAATTAGATTTTCAAGTCTTTTACCATTCTCAGGCACACAGCCAAGGCTCTTGAGGTGTGATTACCTGATATGCTGTCTTCAGCAGAAAAACTGGTATAAAAAATTTTACCATCCTCTTGGTTGCCAGGGTAAAACCATGGGGTCACACTGTGAACTGGATCACTAAAGTGACCCAGGATAAAAATAACCCTTTCCTGAACTGTACAGCATATCATCTTCAAATTTAACTAGTCCATGGCAGGAACAAGGAGGAGCCACTAAGAGCAAGGACTTGTATTGGCTTTGCCACCACCTGTTACCGAACAACTGTGTTCACAAGACTGCTATCTAAAATTCTTCAGTTATTTTCTAGCTTTAAATCGAAGCTTGTTTTTTCCATTGAAGCCACATAGAAATGCTGTGCTTCTGCTAGGTTCATCTAATAAACCCAATGCTTTTCTTCCTATTTTCCCATTGCCTTTCCTCTAAATTACTTATTTGTAGCATTAACTTCCTTCTCCTTGCAACTCCAAGTCTTCAATAAACTTTACAATGTTCAAGAGCCATTTGCTTTCAACGCGACTGTGGAACACAATCCAACCTTTTGCACCTTGTGACTCTTTTCCTCCCTTCAGCATTTTGTGCTTTCTTTCATTGTGCCCATATAAATATGAAAAGTCACCAAGTCACTATGTTGTTCTTTAAATCCCCTCTACTAATTCCTCTGCCTACTAATCACTTTGTAATAGCTATGCATTTGGCTAGTCTGGCTGCTGCTCATTCAGAACTGTTTCGCCTTTGTCTTGCCTCTGAATGTTTGCTCTATTCATGCTTTTTTTTTTTTACTGTTCTAAGATTTTGGACTCTATTCTTTCGCAAATATTTCCTTTTCATTACATACATGTACAGTTCATAGTATAATAGTCCCAGACACCTGGTTTATTGAATACATGAAGAAATCTAGATGGAAAAAACAACTACATAATCTAATCCCCAAGTCTCCTACCTCAAGAGAGGTAAGCAATCTTGCTCCCCAAGATCTACAAACAAGAGAACTCTTGCTGAGAAATTACCAGCTTCCATTGAAACCATCCTCAAACCCCTTTTCATGTTAAGAACAGTTTTTCTCTAGGCTACAACAGATTGCTCCCACAAACTACACAGTATAAACCACTTCCCCCACAATACTGTGCTGCTTACCACTAGTCTGCTTACCGACAGCCCACACAGTCATGGCCTCAACCTCCTCTGAACATGTACAAGATGACAACGAAAGATTAGAGCATTAGGCTATGGATATTTCAAAGCTTACACATTTCATCCTTACCTGCTGCAACCTTCCTTTTAGTGATCAATTTTTCCTTTCAGATCTTAGACACTGACTCCACTGTATGCACTCTTTTTTCCACTGGCCACCTTGAAAAAGAGTTTTAAAATAACTCCGCCCCAACTCTATGCTGTATTTAAGTTAACTGGTGGAACCTTTATTATTGGGCAGATAATTTGGACTTTCTTACTAATTCAAATAATCAGTAATTATCATCCTTATATTAAAATGTCTTTGAAACACTTTTATGCTGATATAACTTCCTTAAGCTCTATGATCAAAATTATAATCTACAAATGCTATTACATAGTGGGGGGGAATCTGCAGAGCACACTCTTGGTAATAGCCTGGATAAACAACAGCTGATATGATGAGAACATGAGTGCAACAGTGCCTGTGAACAGCACACCCAAAACCACCTGTTCCGAGGGGGTATTTGCCTAAAAATGGTAATGCTAAGAGGAAAGTTAACAATGAATTTGCTTAAAATGACCAGGAGATTACCAAGAAACTTTTGAGAAAAAGAGGAGTCACCTTGAAAAGAAGTATAAAAGCAGCATGAAAAGTTGTGATCATGGAGAGGAATCTTGAGGTGGAACAGAGCAGCAGTCAAACCAAGTCAGACACCCCAACATTGTGACCTGTGGCACATCCTCTCCCCTGGAAGCTCTAAGTAGCCTGCATCCATCTGAAGGACTGTCAATATGGGGTGCAACAGGTGGGAACCCACAACCTCAAGCACGTGTATGTGACTGTGGAGTGCTTTGTGGGTGTGGGTACACATGAAGCTGGAGCACCCACACGTCCAACAGCAGCCACATATAAGCAGGGGATCTCATGCTCCCAAAAGAAGGGCAATGTACCTCACATTTCCTGTGAAAGTGGGGGTGTGCACGTGTAACTCAAAATTGTGTGTGTGTCTTGGGGAGGGGATTAGATTAATTTGTGAACAGTTACAGAAGGGTAGTTCAAAATTTGTAGGCGTTCATTAGCATTATGAAACTGTCTAGTATTCTGGTTTACCTGCTGTATAGCTGATACTTATCCTGGAGCTGTGTGGCACTGACTGCAGGTTAATCATGTGTTGTTAATAAATCAATGAGCTGACTTGATTCTAATTTGATTTAAACCACAAGAGTCAAACAGTTTTTCCCTGCCACACATATCTTTCCCTATAGACCAACACACCTAACCTCATGTAGTCAGCCATAACCCAAAACATTACAGCTCTAATATAAAATATTCCTCAGAAAGCAATAAATGTGCCCTGGGTTTGGGCATAATGCCCAGGACAGTTTCCAAACAAGGGCAATCCTCTTAGGAGAGAGGCTGTATTTTTGGAAGAGCTATCTGAACACCACATAAAGAATAACTTAATTCCAAAAAGATTCTGTTCCAGATTGTATACCCCTGGTTGCCATGTATGACTCTACCTTAGAACCAATACACAAAACTATTAAGCAATTGAGCTCTACTCAAAGAAGAACTCACTTTGAAAGAAATCTTACCAGAACCACCCATCCCACCCGCAAACTCCCTGCAATAAAATGTACACCTAATGGATGCAGAGCATACCTGACTAAGAAACGTAGAACTTGCCAATATATGCCCACTACTACCAAACTTAATACTTCCTCCCACAGAAACATTAACACCTTTGAATCCTGTACTTAATTCCAAAATGTTAATATACTTTATCCTGTGCATTGAATGCCTACATGGTAACTAAGTAGGTGAAACAGAGCAGCTACTATTTGCCAGCATGAACTCACACAAATGACCCAGCTGGCAGCAGATGAACATTTCTTACAAATCGATCCCTCCATCTCTGATCTCTCAGCCTCGATGCTCAAGGGAAATCTAAAAAATCATCTTCTAAACACGAGCCTGGGAACAAAAATTAATAAATCTACTGGATACAGAAAAACAAGAACTTAGGATTAGTTTTATGACATATTATAAATTCCCTTCTCCCCATTAGCCTCTTCATCTTTCATCTTCCTTCTCTTCCCCACTATCCAGCTCCTACTTCCCTCCTAGTAACTGTCTTATCACCTCACCTTCCCCTGCTCCCACCCCCCTATAGGTACCAATGACCTTTTCCTTCAGAGGCACTTTACCTGATCTGTATCTAAATAGAAACCAAGCAATTGTTCTCAGCTTGTATTTTGCTTTGTAATCTTCTGCTTTTATTTCAAACCTGAAAGGCTTCTATGTCCAAAAGCCCCTCTAATTTTTAAAGCTACATCCATTGGTCTACTAAAGATACCACTTCAGCCTACAAACCGTCACCTCCCTCTGTCCTTAGATCATTACAGCTACAGCAAAGTAACCCTAGAAAGCTGGATGGACCTACATATTAGAATACCGTGTCAGAAATCTTCCTGTGAAAGCCTGAATACTTAAAAAATGCTCATGAAATACACTATTTTTCATTTTGAGATGCTTGTGTTAATGCCTTTGTCTTCCCATAAATCATACTTCAGAAGTGATCCCCTTTAATGTCTGCTAATTTATAAGCCTAAAACATGGCTTATAAAACAACCATGGGCAAAGTGATCTCCTAATGGATTAAACGGCAGATAGAGTGCAGATCAGATTTATTTTCACAGTGAAGAAACTACAGTGGAAAGTTTGATAGAAAAAACCCACACAAAACAAAATGCTACAACCACATCAGGTTTGTGGATTTCTCTTTATCCTGTTTCTGTGGTGAGCATAGCTGAGGTTGCTGGCCAGGTATGAAGAGCTGAAGGGCATTAATGCAGTGCTCCTCTTGAACTAAGCATGCAGAACACTCATTATTTTTGTAGGGAGTGGAGTGAAACCCCAAACAGTAAGTTAATAACAGCTCTCAAGGTTAATAGTAATCATCATTTTCACTGGGGATTCCAGAAGCAGAATTGAGTTGTAGTTTGAATGGTCATTCTCAGTGGAGCCTTCATAGTTCTTTCCATTCCTATGAACTACATTATGACTAATATGAATCAGAATAGTATTAGAAATACATGAGAGATCAAGGCTATTCTGCATTCATCTTATAAAACAATGTCTCATATAAATTTATCCTATTTTGAAAAAGTAGGCAAAGCCATACAATTGCACTAAGCTTGTCCGCAAGAAAATGCAGTCACTGAAATGAATAAAGGTCTTTTTCTCTTTCAGTTTAACTGGACCATCATGGTAATATTGCAAACAACAGTCCACATTAATACTTTGAGACCAAAATGCAAAGCTTCTGACCAGGTCCTACACAGATCGATGCTGTATAAGTTAGTTGCTAGCTGTAGTTTGTTAAGTATGTTTCTTTTGCTATAGACACAAGAAAACATGAAACTTTTTTCCAGCAATGCTGACAGCTATCACCCTGCACCATCTATGTTATACTGCAGCAATTTATGTATTTAGTTCAAAATAATGGAGACAGGCAGCGGAGGGAGATGAGAATCTCACCAAACGCTCTGTGTCTTGGCATTTGCACCCAGAGCAAGGCAAGACTGGGCATTGCTGCTCAAGGGGGCCCAGCAAATAGGAAGACAGAGTGGCTGGGCATCTTCAGGAGTAGGTAAGACACCTAGCAAGACCCAATAGTCAAGAGCACATGGGGAAAAATTTAATAAAGGTGTTGAAGACAGTGTCCAGGCTTGGATAGTCAACCAGGTGCTCTAAGTGCACCTGCTTTAAGTGCTTGGTTTTTCATAACCAAGTACAGGGTACCCACTACACAGGTGACCAGCAATCCAGTTTTCCTTACCAGGGAAGCATTAAGAATGAGATTTGGTGTGTTGGTTTTATGGACTTAAGGGTTGAAGCAGTGTATGGCCTCCTAGATTTACTTTTAGTTACTTAGCTCCTTCTGTCAAAGTCAAGTTTCTCCCTAAGGATAACAATGCTGCTAGCCAGGAGGACTTCAGATGTTTTATTGTGATGAGATTCTGAGTTCATTTAAAAGAAATGGGATGTATTCAGTTTTCTCAGTTATAAGGAGTCAAGATGTAATATTATATACTACCACCATGCTAAAGAGAAAGAAGCTAAAGAAGCTGAGAGGGGAAAACGGGAACAAAAGCCAGAATAAAGAATACCAATTATTCTTTTTTTCTAGTAGCTATTTTTAAATGTCAATATATGTCAGTATTCAAAAAACCTCAAAGAATTTACAATATATTTTTATAATTTTTATGTGCATAAAATGTTTATTTTATTAGTACTTTAGTATAGCATCTTTTTCTTTTTGATGCTGATGGGGAAGTGCCCTTACTACTTCAGTTTTCATACCATTTTAATTTGAAGTATTACTTTCGAAAAAACCCTAAGAAGACAGGATGTTTGCCTCTGATTGAGAAAAGAGCCAGGAGTCAAGATGTAATATTATATACTACCACCATGCTAAAGAGAAAGAAGCTAAAGAAGCTGAGAGGGGAAAACGGGAACAAAAGCCAGAATAAAGAATACCAATTATTCTTTTTTTCTAGTAGCTATTTTTAAATGTCAATATATGGTAGTATTCAAAAAACCTCAAAGAATTTACAATTTTTTATAATTTTTATGTGCATAAAATGTTTATATTAGTACTACTTTAGTATAGCATCTTTTTCTTTTTGATGCTGATGGGGAAGTGCCCTTACTACTTCAGTTTTCATACCATTTTAATTTGAAGTATTACTTTCGAAAAAACCCTAAGAAGACAGGATGTTTGCCTCTGATTGAGAAAAGAGCTAAGGAAAGGTCCTGGAAAAGCTAAGTATAATAAACAAGTTACATGTAACATTGTCCTTACTGCATTACAATTGCGTGCACTTACTTTATATGAGTAACTGTCACTGCTATAACCTTACATTTATATTTAGCAACATAAAAGATGTAAGTAAAAGGTAAGCAAGGCAAATACACATAATATTAAGCTATCTGTGGTATACAGATCAACAGTATAGCTTACAACTATTAGGTAAGCATTGTCAACATTACTTATCCATTCATGCAAACTGCTGTACTCACAAAGTGCATTAAGTATCTTCAACAATAAAAATATAAAAATCATTTAGTATCAAATCCTGATAAAGACAAGCTTCCGCTGTTTGTATAGCTTACTTAGACATACGCATGATGTTAAACAGATCTTGAAATATCGAATAAATCAAAACACCAGCATTTTATATCTGTTTCATAACAACATAAAATGACTGTACAATGAATAGAGTTACAGAGAATCAGGTCTAATGCCTTTTTAGGCAAGTTGCGTTTCTCCAGTAAAATCTGTATCATCAAATGTCTACTTACTTTGGAAGGGGAGCCTTCAGTGATCTTCACCAGCTGCCAGAGAATAGAATAATGGGAACACTGCAGTGCCTGAACAACTATCTGTAACAGAGGGAACAGAAAGAATCCGAGCACATTGGAAATATCAAGCAAATCAGTAAAGTGTATCTAAAATTTATAATGCATTTTGGGGAGAAGAAATAGGAGCAGCTCTTAGGTAGTACTTTTTGTTTTCAAGGATATTATGTTTTTCCTTAGTCAGTTTGGTGCAGTAAGAAACCAGCCTACTACAGGTGAAAAAAAATACTGTGTAAATGCTGGGAAACAGAACAGAAAACTGCATTAGAGTACAGCAAGAGGTGATGTCACAACATGATAGAAGTACAACCCAACATCTACATATCTCAGTTCAAAAGCATCTGTTTAAATACCTCTAAATCTGACTTCACTAGTAAAACAGTCTGGAAATTTGTTCCACTGTCAAATGAACATGTAGCCCAATTTCTAAAGAAAGGGAGAAAATATGTATTTTCTCATAGAGAAGACTAGGCTCATATTTATGGTGCCCATAAAAACATCCATGGTGTCTTTTTAAAATTTCAAATCTATATTAGGTGCTAAAAATTTCAAAATCTTTTTGGCTTGAAGATGCTTCCAATAGTTTGTGGTTCTGTGCAGAATAAATCAAGTTTGTAACAGCTCTAATCACTTCACAAAATACTTTTTTGAAAGATATCACTAAAGACCAAACCATTCCTTTTCAGCAAACTCCTTCTAGTGGACTGGGGGAAGAAATACTGAGGAGAATTCAGATTTCAGAAATTTTTTCCTAAGATCTTACAGAAGTATCTGGGGAGCCGTATCACTGTCAAACCCAGAAACTGAAGATGGCTGGTAGTTGCATGGACAGTTTTTATCTGCTGGCCCCTTCCCTCCAGGTAGGACAACTCCAGCATTAAGTAGCAACTGCAGAGAGAGCAGAAGGTCCCACAGCTTAAAGCCATGACTTTCACATGGCGTGTGGCAATGCGTCCTCCATATGGTCCTTTTTAGAAAATACTTTTACAGAATTTCATGAGAATTTCCCCCCCTCCCCCCAATGAAGTTGGGTTAGAATTAACAACTGGCTTCTAGTTGAAATCAAATTATAACTTAAAATGTGCTGAAATACCAGAGCAGGCAGTCTGCAGTTAAAACTGGAATCCTGGGAGAATCTGAAATGGTCCCTGTGCTCATCCATGAGAAGACTAAAACCAAACTAGGAGGAAACAAAGTCCAAGATGTGTCCACTAAAAGAACTCCACTGGAAAGGCTGGCCAGCATCCCTGCTAAATGTTGTTCTTGTTTCCTGGTTTTTGTAAGCTTCCATCTTACCTTCAATGCACAATAATCGTTTGTGGTAATTCTAATTGCAGCCAAGGTTTACAAATGTTGGGTCTCAGTGTAAACATAATGATTTATGGATTGCTTTTCACAGCTAGGAACATTAGTTATTCTTTTCTTTACAGATGAGAAAGGTGAGGCAAGTAGCTCAAAAATCACAGAATCCAAGATTTTTCACCTCCTGGACAGTGCCTTGCTACAATACAAACTTCATTCAAAACTCCATGTTTTTCCTAAGTAATTGAAGTCTAGTGCATTAATCTTTTGCATTTCTCTACAACTAGACTCTCTAAAACTTTGAATCCCCAAATGATGCAATGCAGTTGTTGCTAACTGTACCTGTTCTGGCATAGCTCCATGTTCAATTCCAGTTCTTAGTAATCTGTAGCAGTTACTGAACAGATCCCATTTTGTGAGATCATGAGCACTAGAACGAGAGGTAATAGAGACATTAGTTTTGTTCCTCAAAACTCCACATCACAGTGAGAATATAGCCTGACCAGGCAGCTCAGTGAGCAGTTTGGTATTTTTGCAAAGCTGAGACAATACAGCCTGCTGACAAAGCAGCTGCACAATTAGTTCACACCATGCTAAAAGCAGAAGTTAGGCCTTCTGATAACTGAGGAAAAATGTTTTACTACATGGTATTTTTGTAGGGAGAAGATAAACAGTCTGCATACCATACATCTTTAAAGGTTACTTAAGTGTAGCTACAAGCTCCTTCTCAGTGTTGCCTCTAAATCATCTTTCCTCTTTGGTTCTAAACATTGACAGAACTCCAGAAGGCACTTCTCTGGCATTGCAGCAGAAACTATGGCCAAACTGTAACCATATATACTGAATGAAAAATGGCTTTAAGCAAAATAAAGTTACATATTTTTCTGCTGTATCATTCGGAGAAAAATAATATACATTATCACTAGATACTAAATATCCTGAAATATCTATAAGTAAGACAGCATGATATACATGTATATGAGACAAGAGATGGTGGTTGCCACCCCCCATTCATTGTGTCACATTTCAGGTGTACCAACCCGATTCGCCAGCGAGAGGAATACAAATGAAATTAGCAACATATATTCTACAGCCTTACAGACCTCAACAGCTTATGATATAGCTTTTTTAATACAGAACTGAGAAATACAGAAGAAATTATAAAACATCAGGTTGCCTGAAAGACAAAAATTCTCTCAAAAAAAATTAGTTTAACACATTTTTCTGCAGTAGAATTAAACTGAAATAGTTTGAAACAATTTATAATATGTTTATCAAAGAGCAAGCCACCTCAGAATAATCAGAAACTTGGTGATTAAAATACCCACCCAGAAGACGGGATACTCAGACTGAATTGGCAAGTCTAAATTAGATAAAGCAGTGAGATATGCTCACTTTTCCCAACCCTTTGTGTCTGCCCTGCTTTGGAGCTGCCTGACTTTGCCTAAATAATTAACTACCCTGCTCAGCCATAAAGAATAATTCTCTAGTTCTGAAACGGACAGAGGTTGAACTCAAGACTGGGAATGCCTAGATCCTGTTGAAACCTCTAGTATGAAATGCTTCCCAGTCTGGAGTGTGTTAGCCCTGGAAAACCTCACTGATAGAAGTTTCACAGAAAACGTAACAGTTAACGCCCTGAGAGCAAGTGAAATATGCACCCTAGGCTTGTGTCATTAAGCCAAGGTACACAGAATCATAGAATCATTGAGGTTGGAAAAGACCTCTAAGATCATCGAGTCCAACCGTCGACCCAACACCACCATGTCCACTAAACCATGTCCCTAAGTGCCTCATCTACTCGTCTTCTAAGTACCTCCAGGGATGGGGACTCCACCACTTCCCTGGGCAGCCTG